TTAAAAAGCAACCAAAAAGGGAACAACAAAGTAGGAGGACAGATCCTCCGTGTTTACAGTATAATGAGCAAGATCCTACTGTATCAAAAACTAACTTTCTGCATTTTTCTTCAATCCAATCCAAAAACAGCAAATACAAAATAAAGAAAATCAAACCTGTTATAAAGACATCTTCATTCAGTTTACTTGCACAGCCGCATCTCACATAGTCAGTATGTTCACTGTATGAGACGATTTCTGTAGCACTTGGAATATCCCACAAATTTGATGAATAATCATCACCACCAGAAAATATTCGGTATTTATCAGACAGGAAGCCCACTACATGAACAGCTCTAGAAACCAAGGTCCACAATATTCAAAGTTAAAACATATACCTGTTTCCAGAACAGCTGATCTGTACGACAAGCTTATTGAAGTATCCCCTCTAACTTAAAAGTGCAAAGTATTTACTGTTGGAAGTTACAAGGTCTCACTTTAGAGATTAAAAAACAGTTTTTTTTTCTTTTCAGACAGAAAAGGGTCATGCTGACAGATGTTTATGTAAGCTGTAACTTCTGTATTTATTAGTTAAGAGGTCTGTGTACTAGCACTGTCTCTTGGAATAAATGTACAATAGTTAAGTTTCAAGTATGACTGGGTTGCACACTCTTCTTGTCTTTTAAAATAACTACTTAAATCTGTATTATCATCATAACTTTCCAACAGAGAATGACTTTGACAGAAAACACAGATATCCTGAATCTTATTACAGTTAATCTAGCTATTAGGACATAAAATGATACCCAATCTACAACCATTGACCTCAAACAGAAACACTCTTGGTCTGCCTTTTCAGCAGCAAAGAGGGGTCTGCTGCTGTTGTTTGAGACAGATAAAAGACTTATTGGTCTAACATAGTACAGCAATCTGTTTAATCTAAATATTATCATTGTCTTCTCCCCACTGGTTCATCAGAGCTTGGCTTCTAACTCCTTCCATTTCCCACCCCACCTGACCCCTACCTACATCACATACTTCTTCTGTTTTGTTTTTTAAGTGATTCCTGCTCTTCCTGGCATATTTCTTCATTGTTACTTAGCCACTTTTTAGAACTCATTCAATGGCAGCTTCAAAGAAAATGTGATTATCAGTGCCATGAACTAACAAGACTACATCTACACAACATATTAACAGACACCTACCTGAATTAGAAAATTTATTTATTCTTCCATGTACTCATGCTTTATTTTGAAAAGTCACTCTAATTCTGAATTCAATTTAAAAATCTACATTTCAGTATGATCTATGCGAGACAGTTGCAAACAACATAGATCAATACTACTAATATTTTCAGTGACAAGCAAAGCAGATAGATACAAATACACTAAACAAGCTTATGCACACAAAGGAAAAAACAGCACTTCTTACTTAGTATGACCATCAAATTGTCTCAGTGGTGCTTTTCCACTTATGTCAAAGAGGCGAATGCTACCTTCCTCGCTGCCAGCAACAAGCAGATTGCCATCATCTCTGTATGTGGCACAATAAGCAGAATCTTTGAAGCGAGAAAACGTTTTAATTGGTTCCTGAGAATAACGACCATAAATGTGGATCTGGCAAAACAAGAAGACATTAAGTTTGTTCATATGATACCAACTGAAAGACAAGAACATAAAAACCTCAGAAGAGCCACTTACCCTTGAGGAGGCTGTAACAGCATAGTTATATGGAGGAACTGGGGAGAAGTCAATCTTATTTACTGCGCCGAATTCCTTTATCTGAACAGGTGTCTAAAACAGTTGCGATACAAATCATTAAATACACATAAGCACATCATCAAAGATGAAAACTACAAAACAAAACCTACTCTTTTTACAGAGAACTCAAAGCCACTTACCCTTGAGGAGGCTGTAACAGCATAGTTATATGGAGGAACTGGGGAGAAGTCAATCTTATTTACTGCGCCGAATTCCTTTATCTGAACAGGTGTCTAAAACAGTTGCGATACAAATCATTAAATACACATAAGCACATCATCAAAGATGAAAACTACAAAACAAAACCTACTCTTTTTACAGAGAACTCAACATTCCATTTAGAACCAAGTCATTTTTCAAAT